TTACTTGTTGTAATGCCAAAGATTAAGCTATAAAAATTTAAGTAGTAGTATTAAATCAAGGAGAGTGCAGAATTAATTTTAAAATGATTATTTTTTTATTTTATTATTAACTTTATTAACTTTTTATTTTATTATGCTAACTGTATTTCCCACTTACAAATATATAGCTTCTATGTATTAGTTTGTTGTGAAAATGTGTAGGAAAGGTCAGTGTTTGAAAAATGCAAATAAATATTAAGTGCGTTGGCCGCATGTAACAATAACTTCCGCATACATATAATTTAGCATAAATAATCAGTTATTGATGAATTACTGTTAAAAATTATATTAGCAACGACAGTAAGTAAGTAAACTTACGATATTTTATTATGAAATACAATTTTTCTTTGCTGTGGGAAATTTTACTTCACCACAGTGGTGTTAACATCGAGTACACCACGAGTTCGCTTAAGTTTCTGTTGCGCTCTGAGAATATTGAAATGATCACACCATCAACTAATGATGATTGAAATTCTCCATAGTTTGAAGTCTCTCAAGCAGCCTACACACCTTGTGGATATAGTACTAAAGTAGCACCTTCTTGGTACTGGGATACTAGAGACGAAATTTTTAATAAATTCAATAGTTCACCACATTCAAATTTATAGTAATATAAAACAATAATTTAGAAGTAGTAAGAACTATTTTTCATACAAATTATTAAGCAATTCAATATTTTTTTTTCCTACAAATGAAGTATATAGCTAATAACTAAGGCAAAAATTAAATAACTTCCTTTAAAAAAGAAGGTTTTTTTGATGACTTCGCTACATTTATTGATTATTTTCAAATGTATTTTAAATATTTTTAAGATCATATTTATAAAAAAAAGTGGGGATTTTTAAAATATTTCGTTCTCAAAAGTTTGGCTTTATGCTGCAACTACCCATTTTAAATACTTTCCGTTCATAGCAACCTATTTTATGAGAGCGTCATGTAAATGAACTGTTGCCGTTACTGACTTATGGCTATGCGGTATGTAGGATGGGTTGTTGCAGCGTTAGCTCTTTTAAATGTGAAAGGTAACAGAGTTATTAGAAAAATTAATAAAATATTTTAGCACGAACAAATGTGTAAAAGCCTTTATTTATTTTTAAATAATATTTTCAAATATTCAATATTTATTTATATTTAAAGTATAAAAAAGAATCAATACATTTTTTCAAATTTATTTAAAACAAAATTTTGTCCAAACGTAAGTGATAAAAGAAAATATCTCAAAAAGCATTTCGATTATATATTTTTAAGGGAAAATACAGGAATAAATCATGTTCGACAGTTATGAGAGAAATTTAAAAATATTGCAAGTATCAAAAGAAAGACAGTCACATATAGTAGAATAATATATGTGTATATACATATATAAATTATATATTTTTTTTTCAAAAAACCAAAAATTGGTTTTTGCCTTCAAACTTTAAAATTACTGCATTTCTTATATTTTTTTATTTTTTACTCTACTTCTTCAATGCGGTAATACAATCACAAAACATTTCGTGTTTACGATTTTTGTTCACACATTTTTATGGTTTGTTTCTTAAGTCATTCAAACAGTGCGGCCTCATTACCTGTTGAATGTGTTGTTGTTGTGTACTGTAGTTGCAATTGCTAAAAAGGTTTGCGCAAAGCATGCAATTTGTTGTTATTTAGTGTTATTCGTTGTTTTGTGGTGTGTGATTTGTGTTTTTCGGTTTTGATTATCTTTTGCTTTTTTTTCTTATTTATCTTTTTTCAACTATTTTTATTATATTTTCGTTTTATTTTTTTATTTTTTTATATTTTTATTTTATATTTTATTAATAATATTGTTATTTTATTGGGATTATTGTCGAAAGTTAATCTTATATCGCCAAGAGTTTATAACCGTGAGAAATCTACAATTGAATATCTCATCGGCAGATACGTCGTTTTTATTTCTTGTGCAATATTTTTCGCAATTTTTATTAAATTTTTTTTTTGATATTTAAACTTGGTTTTTTTAAATATATTTAATATCACCTTATTTTTGGGTGTAATAAAATTAATTTTTTAAGCTTTCACAATTTCAATAAATTAATTTTTATATATTTCTTCTCAAGTTTTAGGCATTTTCGAACTTTGGTTCACACCACAAATCAGAATAATTTTTGAGTTGTTAATAAAAACTAATAAGACGCAAATTGTCGTACAAACCGAAAAATTTTGCATTAACGACTTTTCGCTTAAAAAAAATATAAAATTCACGCAAGAACTTACACGAGCTAAAAATAATGGACAAATTCAAATTAGAGGAGACAAAGAAAAAAAGGCAACAAAATTAGTATACTGTATAAACACACTCGAGCGTCACATAAATCAAAAACCAGTCACGTTTCGATAGTCTGTATAACGCATACCCCGCAGCATTTTCATGCCAATCAGGTGGCCAAGCAAGAGTGGTTTGCTCATTTTTTCAATTATACTTTTCATTTTCATGGCAACAAAAACAAAATTCTAGAATGAATTCTAAGCAGAGATACGAAAATTTTGCCTATATGCTAAATTTTGATATTCTTACAACTGGTTTAGCAACTATGAGCGCATAATGAAAAAGAAAAAGAAAAATAATAAAATAATAAAAAAAAAATAGTTATGCTTGGTGCAGCTATAAAAAAGTTGTAATGGGTGTGGATGCATATTTTTTGCTTGTTTTTCTAACAAAAGAGGCAACATTTAATAGCCATACAATTCGGGAGAAGCAAAATTACTTTATTTAAGTAGCCATTAAATGCAATTTCACTTTCGATTGGCGTTCTTTTTCGAGCTAATTGACTTAAAAATCTCACTTTCTCGTTAACTTTAATTGAAAATAAAGAAAAAGAAATAAATAGTAATAATAAAACCAGAGTTTAAAACTTCATACTTGCAGAGTATGCCAGAGCACGAAAGACTTAAGCGACGAACTCGATTGCTTGAGTGTGGCTTTAGAGCAATATATTGGCTTTAAATTTACTTTTTTTTTTCAATTTAGTACATGTAGAAATATTGCCTTCAATTTTTAATTGAAATTTCCTTGTGTTAATCAATTTATTTAATTGTATGTACGCTTTTATCTTATGTCTTCATTTTACGTCAAATTTGACGGCTTTCGTACCTCGAGCGCTATAGTAGATAAAATGAGCTAAACATTTTATTTACCAAGACAATAAGTGCTAGGCTTGAGGATCTTCGACTTGATAGTATGCGTCTATTTTTTAAATTCATTTGCTTTTATTAAATTCTTATTTATTTATTATTTTTTTACTTATATCTATTTATTAGTATTTTTTTTTATTTTTTTAAGTTATTTTCTTACTTTTTTCCCCTAAAGACTAGCAATCGACCTTGAAATTATTTGCTACGTTGATATAATAAAAGAGGTCAAAGCATAAATGTTGTTTATCACTTATTACATTGAAATTCTATTATTGCTATTTGAAGTGAGGCATGAAAACCAAATAATGTGTTTGCTTTATCGCCTAACGTAATCTTGACTGTCTACTACTCGACGATGCCACGCAGCTGTACTCTAAACGCTTGTAGTACTAGAGAATACGTTTAGGTATATCATAGTAAATACTGAAAATTCGTAGACAAATACCCTGCAGTACGTGGTTGCTGGCCAATAGTACTTTGTCAGTGGAATGTTAATTAATTACTTAACAGATTTACTAAGTGACTTTGAATATTTTCACTTATTCCTGCTAAGTGTTGGATAGCTCTTTACTTCGAAGGAAGACAAGAGCGATTGAATTGAAGATTTCATGATTTTATTTAAACTATTCAAATTTAATTCTTTTTAAGGAAACCTTGCTGAACTGACCACGTACAAAGTCAGATTGTTAGATAGGTAGGAGGGGTTGTCGATATGTAGGCAAAAACACACTCAAGGCAAAATAGGCACTTTGTAATGACGTGAAAAATTCGCTTTGATTGTATGTATATATTTTTATCTACTTCTACACGCTAATGAAATTAATTCCAATATGTTATCCTGGCAGTAAAGTTCTAAGCGCCGAACGCACTACATTTATCTGATACCTTGAATGAAATTTCCAATGAAGCGCTACAATAAATTGGATAATTTATGCATTTTTACATTTAATTATGTTTTTCACTTTACATTATTATATATTTTACTGATTAAATTAAAAATCAAAAAAACGAATATCTTTGAAAATAATACAACTCAATTACTATCATTTCATTTTTCTTTACAGCTGCACAAAAACTATATCAACAATGAGATTAAAGAACTGGTGACATTAATTATTAGTCGAAAGCGGAAAATTGTGATAATCAACGAAAGTAAAAATATTGAAATTTAAACAAAATAATAAAAAAAAGTGATGATGAATTAACATAATAATAATAATAAGAGAGGAATGTAAAAATAAAGTATAATAAAGTGACAGTGAGAATTTTTTTGTACTAAAAGTAGAAAATTTGATGAACATACACACAGTGCTCTCCACGTAAGCTTAAAGTTCTCCATGTAATGTCAAAAGTTGTTCTCACAAAAATAATACCATGCATACATACATACATACAATAACCAGATATCTAACATTCGGTTCATAGACTTATGAAATTTTTCTCTATAAGTCGCATGCAAACTGCGGTTGTGCGAGCGATCAAGCCATAGAGCGGAAAACTTGAAAAAACCAAAAGCAAAAATAAAAAAAAAGCTCAAGAAGTAAATGTACCATGCAACTGTGGTAAGCAACATTAGAGATATCATTAAAAAACGAAAATACAGAAAATCAACTAATACGCGTGGGAAGCAGAATTAAACCACAAAAAATTGAAATAATACGTACTAACTTGTTGCAAAGCAACAGAAAGATAAAGGAAAACACCTAAATAAATAATTAAAATATTAAAAAAGAAAATAAATTAAATTAAAATAATATAAAATAAAATAAATTAAAATACAATAGAGTAAAATAAATAAATAAAATTAAAATATAAATATATATAAAAAGAAAAAAAATCAAGTAAAATAAAGCAAAATAGAAAAACACCTCAAACTATATACAGTAAATATGTTGCGGAAATTTACGTCTAGTAAGTCAGTAGTTTCAGAAAACCTCTTACAAACGAAGAACAAAAAATAAGTTCGGAGAATAATCTCAAATGCCCAACTCATTGCCACAAAGTGGAGTTATGAAAACCAACAACGACAAGTTAAGGCTTGCAGCCAGCGATGACTAAGCAGCACTAACAGCAACAATAACAACAACAACAATATACATGTAAGTGGAGCAACATGTTATTTGCTGACAACTTGTGAGTTTTGGTAGCAACAATGCCGACAAATGTTGAAAGATGAGTGATTAAAATGTCACTTGAAGTTGAGCAGCGTAATGGGCTAAAGAAGCGATAGAAAGTAAATAGGACAAAAAACTTAAAAACATCAAAGATTATATATATAAATGCAGTTAAAATTAGTAGAAATCTGAACGTGAAGAAGGAAAAAAAATAATAAAATTCTTTAGCGCTTCTGAAGAAAGAAAGAAAGTGCGCACATTAACAATTGAAAGTTGTGATATAGCAGAAATAGAAAGAAAAAAATTATGCCACATCAAATCATGCGCACAGCGCACAGCGGCATGCAACAACGACAACAATATGTACTTTTCACTACATTTACAAAAAATTAAAGTAATAAATTAACAACGACAATCACTTCATTCACATCTCGTAGACATCACTCAGTCACAAACCTCAACGCCGCAAGTCTAACGCAACCACATACTCAAGTAGAATCTATACAAGTTTTTTCAAGCGATTTTTTGATGCTGCAAATGAATGAATGAATGAATGAATGAATGTGCGAATGAAGATTGCAATAACAGAATAGTAACAAAAAAAAAAAATGTAAAAGAAAAAAATTGAAATGACAGCTGCAACAATAACAATAAATTGTAGAACAATAGTGAAATTGCGTGGAGTTTATGTAAAAAAATCTCTCAGTTCCATTGAAATGTCCAGAGAGCAGATTGTGTCTGTTGAGTTGCTGAGCGAATTGGACAAGTTGTAAGCCATGCAGCAACCAGACAGACAGTTAGACAGTCGGTTTCAGTTCAATAGTCATTGTATAACGGTCCATAGTGTTGTACATACATATGTTTTTCCCGTATATTTAGCTGGAAGCGAAGAAAGTTTACGGCGGGTGTGGTGAATAAGTGAAAATAAGTTTTATATAAAATAAAGAAAGAGTCATATAAATACGAAGAAGTAAAAAATAAATAAAGCATACTCGTATAGTTAAATGTAACTAAATGAACTGTAAAGAGGTAGAAATAAAGTATGTTAAGTGAAACGAAATGGAAAGTAGGTAAAGGGTGCTGGTAGATAACTTGTTTATAAACTCAAAGAAAATTTTAAAAGGTAGGCAGTGTAATTTCGAAGCGATTTCCTCATTCTCAAAGACAGTGTCCTATGGATGCTAACAAAGAAAATAGTTCAAAAGAAAACTGATGGTTATTGGGTTTGAAACAAAAATTAATACAAAGCCAAGTAGCCTCATAGCAACTCTGATAACTATCCCATATGGCTTTTATTATTCTTATAACTCTAGAGAGAAAAAAGAAGAAAAGTTTCCAAAAGCCAGATACTTCACCCAACCGTTTCTTAGTTTGTATAAAGAACTATATCCGGCTATGGCTACTTTGTTGGCGAAACGATAAAGTCATCCTTTCGAAAGTGAAAAAAGGCTTTATCTTGATTTTATCGCTCAACTTCGACCAACTGCGACGCTTTGGTCTATCACTTGGAACTACTGAAATTAATTACATCGATAAAAGTGCCCAAAAAAAATTAAGCAAATTAAAGAGTAAAACTTTTCAACATAAAAGTGACGATAATCAGCACCATAAAATTAGTAAAATTACGCTGCGAGAAAGGTACAACGAAAATTCCACAGAAAAGTTCACCAAACCAACAAGTTTATTTTGTTTTTGTTTTTTTTTTTTCATATCAACATCATAAATCAAATATCGTTTAACATATGCAAGAAAAAAACTGCAACTTCAATCAATAAAAAAAGGAAAGAAAATAAAAAAAGCACAACAACCCATTATCATAACGTTTATTGAACTCTACCACTGAACGCTGCAGTGTTACATTAAAAAACAAAATACAAGCTAAAAGATTACCGTCAAATTGGTAGTGTCTTTTCTCTTTGTTTGTCCAGTTAAGGAAATAAAAGTCAAGCACGCTTAATGGCTGCGCCAAAGGTAGCGCTGTAGCCATTCGCAGCAACGAACAACGAACAGCATCACCAACAACTAAAGTAACAACAAGTTGTAAGGAAAAAGAAATAACAGCAAGAAATGCCAAAGGCATAGCAGTGAGTTGTGAGCTTCCCAGAAAGGCCAACCGTCTGCAATGGATGCAGACGGAAATCACAGCAACAACTTTGGCGGAGAGTCTGGAGGCACGAGTGCGACTTTCGAAAGTGAAAAAACATTACAAATGTGTATATATTTATAAGTCAATGAAAAGCAAAACAAAAAAGGAAAGAAAAATAAAAGTGCTAAACAAAGAAATGTGAACCTTTATATGTATGTGCGTATAAAAACAAGCTGAAAGTGAGTTTTTGGGCGCCAAAGAGCTACTCAGTGAACTTTTGCTTTAATTTTTTTGTAATAATACTTAAAATATATACAATCAATTAACTTGAACATTTCTTTGAAGAAAAAAATATTAAACACATTTATAATATAAATGTATACGTATGTAAAAGAAAAAATATATTTTTTTTAATTTAAGCAATTATTAATATTTTAATTATTTTTTAGTTATGGTGCACACGAATTTGTCGCAAGTTTAAATTTAATATTAAATTTTTATTTTTTTTAAACTTCATTAATAACACTTTTTTATAGTTAAATATTGCTATCAAAAATTGCAATAATAACAACAAAGAAACTCTTTGCGAGTGCAAACAGCAAAAATGGAGTCCGAAGAAATAACCAAAATGGTTGATGGCGTTTATAAGGTAGGTGTGCGCATAATTTACATTTTATTTATATAAACTTAAAAAATTGAATTTTTTTAACATTTTTCAAAACTAATTTCAATTCATTTTAACATTATCGCATATTAAATCAACTAACTACGCGTGCGAGTCATTATTTCCTCTTGAATTTTTATACAATTCCAAAAAAAAAATTATTATTATTATTTAGTTTTGGTAAACAAGTTTTCGTAATATGTTTCAGAAAAAGATTAAATTATTAAAATATTTTTTGACGCGATGCAAGTTTTTGCAAATAGTTTTATTAACACATTTCACTTCCAAAAAAAAAGGTTTTTAAATCATCACCCTCAATTTTCCCTCATAACATTTCCTTCTAATATTGTGCAAACATCCATTAGTCTTGTAGGCTGACAATATTTATATGTTTTGTATGCATATATGTATGAGTTTGGAAATTTTTAATTTTATTTGCCAACATACTCCTCCTGCCTCTCTCCATTTTTTCCTAAGTTATCAATGACAAACTACCGATTGTCACTTTTATAGCCGCATGCGGCTTGTTTATTTCGGCTTTTCACTTTTATATTCACCTTGTTTTGGGTGGAAACGAAAATAATTGGCAATTGTTCGAATATTGCAGGATGTTGTTGAATGATTTTCTGCCACCGCATGTTAGTGAAAGTTGATGGTTGGCTTACTATTAAGTGTAAATACAAAATAAAAAAGATATAATAATAAATAAACAAAATAAAAATTGTGTGTCTTATAGGTATATAAATAGCTTGACAAAACAAATTTTGAGGCAATAAAATAGCAATAATTTTTTCTATTAAATACAAGTTTGTAATTATTTATCAAAAAATTAAAGAATCATGTTTGTTACAAAAAAATTAATGACATATGAAAGAGTTAAAATTAAAATTTCTTAACAAAATAAATTAGAAGACGCTAAAATAACAAACAAAACTTTGTTTAACGCAAAAAATAGAAAACTATTGCTGACCGAAAAAGTAAAAACCACTAAGCAATATTCAAACTTTAATAAACTGCTGAAGTTGACAAAGGTGTTTAAAATAATTATATCAAATAAAATAAAAAATGATTAAAAAAAATTCTTTAACATTATTTTATCCATAAAAAAAGTTTTATATCAAAAACAAATATATTGTATATAAATAAATAAAAAATGATTTTTATAATGATGGTTTCATGGCGAAATATTATCGAATAATTAAAGATTTTTCAATATCTAATAAAAAAGTTAATTACTTTTTTTATGATTTTTTTCAACGAATAGTTTGAATTAAATTTTGTTCAAATTATTTTTCATAAAAGTAAAGCACTAAAACAATCAAGAAATGGGCAAAAATAAACCAAAATCTTAGTTGACGTATATTATTGTAAAGCCAAAAAAAAAGTTTTGCTAACAAAAGAGAAAAAAAATTACAAAACGAAGTTGAAAGTTAAAAAAAATAAATAAATCTGTAAAATAAAATAAATAAATTGTTGGGCAAAATGAATTTGTTGACACTAAAATGACACAAAATATATTTTTGAAAATAAACAAAAAATTTATGTATGAATATAATTGTTTCTATTTATTATTAATTAATAAAAAAATGCATAATGAAAAAAAGAGAAAACATAGAATATTGCTCCGAATTTCATAAACAAATAAAATCAGTTGAAAATTTGATTAAATGTGATTTTCTCATATCATTTTATCATCATAAATGAGCCATTCAAAATTATATAACATTTATTAATCAAATCTAAAAAAATATTTACTATTACTTTTTAGAATACCCAGTAAAAAAAATTTAATTGGAAATCCTTAAATTAACGCCAAAAACCTCATAACGCATTTGAAAATCATGATAAATTTGGCATTTGTCATTATCTAAGTGTGATAACCCTGCTGCCTTGCCGCTTAATGCTGCCCGTAACGGCTGCAGTGTCATCACTAACACATGAAGTCGAAATATATATGCATGCATATATAGATTTTTTTCAAAACTATAAAATACGCTATAGCAGTAATGCTTATACGTGCAATAGTGCCAAATTTATATAATATCTTCAAGCCTCTTCTTCTCTAACGCTAACGCTTTATAGCTATTTCGCTATTATTATTTCCATTTCTTTGTTTGCATTTTCATTTTGCCTCTTCACTTGGTGATTATGCAATGATTTAGCGTGTGTTGTTTGTTGGTTTATCGCGGCTGCTCAACACCCGAATGCAAAATGCTGACTTGCTAGTACTACATGCATTTTTTAATTTAATTTTTTTTGATAGTGGCAACACTGGTTTTACAATTTTGAGTATTGTTGCATATCAGTGCAGGTAAAAAATTCGAAATGCAGCCTGTCACGAATTATAAGCATAAAAGTGCATTAAATTTTCGCTAGCAGCCACACTGCCACCAGCGTTGCCTTTTCCCTCCGCCGCTGGCTTGACCTAAACAGCTTGTTTGTGGTTTCGGGCTGTAGCATCAGCAGCAGCATCATATTGCGGAAATCTTGTCACTGGAATTTTTGTACTTTGGTAGCGACAACTTTTTCTTTTACCAACTGAAAGCCTTAAGTCGATACATGACGCTAGTGTTGTTGTTTTAATTATAACTAGTCAAAACTAATGCGGCAAGTTGCTTGTACATGTAAGTTGAGTGTGAGGATGTTGCAAGTTGTTGAAAGGAGTTGTACATATGCATTGCAGCGAGTTGCATAAATAAATTTAAAATTATATATATTTATATATATATATATTTATATACACACACAAATATTTCATTAATTTCTTATTTCCCATTACTCATTTCATTAAGTCTGGTGTAAGTCTCTAAGTCTGATTATGGCAATTTTAATAGCAGTTGTTGTAGAAGTAGTTGTTTTTGTTTTTTCTTTTTAATTGAAATTGCATCAATTTGGCAAAATTGCGTGAATTTATTTTGCATAATTTATTGTTATTGCTTCGCCGGTTTGTTCAGCGGCAGTAAAAGATTGCTCTAACGTACATACATATACATACATAGACAGTTAGCGAGGATAAAAACTAAATACGAGTATGAGACTCAGGAAATGAATGCAAATGATGTGCATATTTTATAGAGTAAGTGTGTGTGTGAGTATGTGTGTGTTTGGTTAATTGACAGCTGTAAGCAAAACAAAAAAAATAGGCAGCATTCGGCCTCGCTTCCTTCATTGAACTTAATTTGAATGATCTTTTTTTAAGAAAAAAAATTAATTAACATAAAAAAATTTATAAAGTTATTATTAAACAAGCCTTTTTTTAATTTATAATTATAACTCACTAAAAAAACTTATAACTGAAATTATTTTATTTGTTATTACACGCAAATAATTTGTACTTGAGAAAGAATTACTAAAAAATAAAAAAAAAAATTATAAATAGTTTTTATCTCGTGCATATTTGCATTTTTATAACAACTTGATTTGCTCATAAATTATGCAGAGCTTTGATTTTATCATATTTTTTTCTGAGCTCGTAAATCACAGAAATTTGATTTTTTTTAATTTTTTTTATATTTTGGCCTCATAATTTTCTTTTAAACGTGGCTGCATTTCTTTTATCAATAAAAATAGTGACAGGCAAATTAATATTAAATTACATATTAAAATAAATTTATCAAAAATGCGCATAATTTATTTCTGCTCTTTATACTTACTGAGAAAAAGCCGCATTTGATTAACAGCAAATTATGGCGACTAAAAATTTGTCCACAAAATCTGCATTGAATATCTTCAAATACGCATAACCGGTTAGTTACTGGCAAAATTGTATATACTCATGTACACTGTTATAAACAGAGAGCAAAAAAATGATTACTAGTAAAAAGTAATCCATTTTCCAATTGAAGTTTGTATTTACTATTGTTAGAATTATCTGATTTATATCGAAAACGCATCGTTTAAGTCGAAAACCTTTTGGCATTTTAAAGAATAATGTCCATATGCCTCCTTCATAGAAACCCTTGTCTCTGTTATCAAAAACTTGGTACAATTTCGACAGGGTTCTCTTGAGGCCAATTCCTCACTCGCCAAATCATTCGTCGTAGACAGAAACAGATGGTAACTCCTCGGTGCGGGACTATAAGGTGAATGCATAAGAAACTCCTAAAAAAAGCTCTCGGAGCTTCTGGCGAGTCCCTTTCAATGTGTGCGGTTTGGCTTTGTTCTGATGAAACACAATTAAGCTCCTATAGGACAAAGCTGTGCGTTTCTTGGAGATTGCTTCCTTCAGATTGGCAATACAGGTCCGAATTAAGAGTTTGACCGCAGAGGAGTACTTCATAGTTGATGGTTCCTGGCCAATCCCTCCACGATGATTACCTTTATTTTATCGACATTTCTTAAAGACGGTCTCTATACCATGGATCTTTTTTTACACTCAAACTACTTACTTACTTATGTTAAGATTGACGCTTATAGAAACAGGAACATAAACACCATTCACATATTCAGGAAAGCTGCCTCACTTACGTTTTCGCCTATATCGAATAGAATAGAACATATACGCTCAAGCACTACTGAGATCAACACTTCTCCCATTGTCTACTTTTACACAAAATATCATCCATCTAACACCATTTAGCGTAAGCCAATCGCGCGATAATAATGGATGACCTTTTACTTGACCAATAACTATTTATATTATTTTCGTATAATATTGGTTATGTTTTTCTAAAATTTTTACGATTTTCATAGAAAAGTTTAAGTGTAATTAAAAAAAAAGTCAAAAAAAAAATTAATATTTCTAATTTATTATGGCTGATTCAGTTAGCTTCATGCTTATGACATTTTCATAGCAATGGAAGAGATATCCAAAACTGACACGTGAGATTTCACTGATTAAAGTTTTGGCAGCAAACATGGGCTTGACTCATTTACGTAAACCAAAAACGGGAAAGAAAAAAGCAGTGAATCCAAAAAAGGTGTTCCTAACTTAAATGACACGTAAGGCAAAAAAAAAAAGTACTAAAGCGCAACAGTTTCCGTTA